ATGATTTATATTATGTTGTAAAACTTTGTCTGTGAAATCTATATTTTTTTCTATATCAGCTGGAAGACATGGTCAGTATTCTGTCCTGCCACTTGCATACCTCAAACTTACATCGTTTGGATGGCTTTAAAATAGATGCGGCCAGCGGGGCCAGTGGCTCATGGTTTCTGAGTCCGAGGTTCCATCCATAATTACTCTGAATATCTCTGGATGATTATCGATTGCGAAGGTTTACCCTCAAGCTATTTAAGATGAATTTCTTTGCTCCAAGACTATAAGATTGGTTTTGATCAGCAATTTTTTGGCCGTTGGAAATGGAATGATTTGGATGTGATTCGTTTGCAGCCATGGATATGGATTGGTTGTTGTTGGAACGCTGAAAAGACGCTGCATCATGCATGTTGATATCCTGTTTCAAACAGCCGCAACCGGCTTCAATCACTTGGAACGGAAACACTGGATTCACTGGCCATCGACCATGACTGAAGCAAGTCAGATTTCAAGTCTTTATGAAGGGAATTCAATATTGGGGACGTGCGTATTGCACAATCTAAATTCTAAATCTAAATGGATCTATCTAGGATTATATAAATGGGCGATGAACATGCATTTTCACACCAGCTTTGATGACAATGGTCCGATGTATCCATGCATATCATCCATATTGAAACAACCCCAGATGGGAATATCAATTATATCCCCATTTAGATGCCCCATTGTGTCCTCACTAGATACCACATGTTGTACCCATTAGATACCCCACTACTCTACGTATCCCTATTGTGTGTGCTAAACAATCCACGTTCGTTAAAGTATCCCCATTATGCCCCCAGTATATTCCTAATATATTCCTATTCTTGGTGTGTTTGGAATATATTGTGTTGTTTATGCATAATCAGTTTTTTTGATGGGAAAATGATATGTCTCCCCATACTGGAATCTGACTTTCCTATTGACAATTCCTATGACTCAGTTCTGTTGAGGCGGAAGGCATCTACCTGCGGGAACATGTGGAGCGTTTGGAGGCTGATGGGTCCAGTAACTCAGTTACATGAAAGGCTAAGAATACATGGCGCTTCCCAGCCATTCCTTTAGACGTTTGGTTCTTCTTGAGGAAAATTGTAATTTATACTAGAAGTTATAAACTTTTTGCAGGAGAGCTGGGAATCAACTAGCATTATAGCTTACCGTAACCGCTTCCGATTTCTGGAATGCACCCACAAGTGAGGAAACTGATTGGTGAAGGGTGGGTGAAGAGTGTGTACAATGCCCAGCTGAAAATTAAACTGTGTTGTATTGTCAGTATCTTAAGCAGGGTTGACCTACTGGATGTTACTATTTCGATCGGATGACTTTGCCCAATTTTGCCTAGCCTTTGTCCCTCGGTCGCAGTCTATGTAGACCAACCTACTGTAGATCATTATTTGTGCCTATCAGGAACAGCAGTTGCGGTGATGTATGACATTCAGCATTTGATCACTTTCAGTTCAAAGCTGGTCTGTCCCTTGCTACATTTTAAAAGTTGTCATCAATACTTGAGCAGTGTTTAAAACCCCTTCAAATTGATGAATATGTATATTTATAATTACTTGGGTATATATGCTAATTATATGCTAATTATATACCAACTATATCTTATACGGGGGATTATTTATTATCCATGGAAATCCTACTATATTACTTTTTTTGGGTTTTCCAATGTTGAAAAGGGACGGTCGCCCCGAGCCGAGCCCTAGGATCCGAGCAGGTCCGGCTGAAATGCGAGTAGAAACCCCCAATGCCCGTTTTCCATTTCCTGCATTGGACGGTGCAAAATGTGCAAAGGTTCAGCAGCTGAAAGTGCAATCAAACTGGCATGGTACATTTTTTTTGCAGCTGGAAATGTCGGGTCCAAATAAAAAACCCGTTTAAAGAGGATTGGACATGGAAATCCAGCACTTGATCCATGGCCAGGTTATGGGAATATGGGGATCCATAGTTTAATCAGATTTGAATCATATCCCTGCGAACCAAAGACCTCGTTAAACTTGATCGTTTCAATGAACATGTTTTACTTGTAAAAGAACGTACTTTACTTGAGCTAATTTTTACCAAAGCTCCGTTGATGCAGTGGACAAATGCGTTTTATCGACAAATCACTGCAAATCATTCTCCCAACTGGTTGAGTTCCAGGGCTATTGGTATCAATTTATTTCAATTTCATTGTTTGCAATCGCCCTTTACAGCTGCCCACAGCCCGTGAGCGTCCCGTCAACAACCCGAAACAAGCCGTGAAACACCCTTGAACCATCCGTGAACGACCCGTGAAACACCCGTGAACCACCCGGGAACCACCCGTGAACCACCCGTGAAGCACCCGTGAACCACCCGTGAACCACCCATGAGACCAGTGTGTTAGAGACACAGAAAACTGGGTTAGAGACCCGAAAAACTGATTTTGTACCGTGAGCGACCCGTGAAACACCCGTGAAGCACCCGTGAAGCATCCGTGAAGCACCCGTGAATGATCCGGGGACGCTCAATGAACATGCATTAACGGGCAAATGGTTTCCATCTTTTTGCAGGTTCCCAATATCAAATGCAGTTTGTCATAGCATTATATGCATGTCTCTATGAACCAAGTCTCTCAAGATAGATTCAAAACAGTGATGTTGCTGAAGTGTTGACAGCAAGTGGTTAGAAGGATTTAGAAATGTGATCGGAGAGCGCGATTTCAAATGATCAAGTTAAATTTGTTCTTAACCAATGTGGACAGGTTAAACTGGTCTTTCGGGTTTGTAGGGTATCCTTTCACAACTGAAGCTGCTCAACCTTGACCTCAGTGGTCGAATTTCGCGGTGACCCAGTGATCCAGCAACCCACTGCCTTACAGCAGACATCTAGCGGACCGAGGATTTGGATAATCCCATGTAAACCCATCAGATTTGGATAATCCATGATAATCCCAAATATACACCCAAAAAAAATATTATAAATCCATCAACATTATTTTTCCCAAGGATTTTAAAAAAGTTGATAAACCCATAGCCACTCTGTCGATCTGGTTTGAAGATCCTGTGAAGTGCGGATTCATACCCAGCCACATCAGCCTAAAATGCCATGATTCATTATCATATTTCCTATGATAAAACATAGTCAACATGGGAGGATGAGATGGGATAAGGTAAACCCATGTTTCAAACCTCACCATAGCCAAAAAAGACTGGTTCGTTGGTCATGATCCATTGTGATCCTGGGCGACCTGCCCATTGGAGCACCACCGCGAGAACGAAACACTGGCAGAGCGGATATTTGAAGCCCGCGCTGATTAGAAAGACCTCAGTGGTCAACTTCTCTTGTTCAGACGGTCTTTCCGCACGCGGTAATCCATATACGGATACTCTATATACACATCAACCTATACTCATACCAATACATGTGTATATATATTATATATATATTCACACAACATGTGTATGTGATTGCATATTTGTGTAGATCGATTACGTTTTGTTAAGCCCTGGGGGTCTTTTTGACTTGTGCAGCTCTGGGGCTGGTTGCAGCACCGCAAGCAGCCAAATGGATCCAAATGGTACGAAGCGTTCCATTCTTTGAATCCCATCGCTACAACTGGGATGTACAGGACCAGTTTCTTGACACAATCCGACCCAATGACCCACTAGGTCACTAGGTACCCACCAGCTTTTTTTGTCGTAGCAGAAAGGCTGTCCTGACGCCGCTGATGTGGGACTAGTGTGCCATTTAAGGCTGCCCTTGACATAAGATCCAGGCAACGATGCGTGGCATCGGAAAAGCCGTGGCTCCATCATGCTCCATCAATCGTTCTGATGTGCTGGAGCAAACGGAATCTGGTCAAGTCACAATGAAGAGAATTTGTGGAATTTGCATGTGATGGCTGGGTTGCATACATGTGAGTGTAGAATTAGGTGCATATACAATCATATATGTATATAAATAAAATATAGAATATCGTTAATAATAATGATAATATATAGATATATGTCATAATTATGTCATATATTGTTTATAATATCAGATAATTATAGTCTAATGTCTAGTTGTTTAACTTGTATAATTTGTATCCTGCGTATGTAGATATATTTATATATGCGTATTAGATTTATGGCACATTTGTTTTATTGATATGTGTGTATTACCGTCTACCTTGCTTAACTTTCTCCTTGAGTTGTGAATATTGCTGCATCTTCTATGGAGCCAATACCGCAGGAGAACATCACAATCAATCCGCCTCAGCTGAGAGAATGAGGTGCGTCCCCTCCTTCATCGAGGATATAATGAGAGTTCGTGGGGTTTATGTACCAAGAAACATTTCACTGTGGGGCCCCACAAGTTGAATGTGGGAAGTGTCTGCGGAATCTGTGTCACAATCTTCGCAGATTCTAGGAGGGTGGTGATATGGTATGATATTTTATGACTATCAGTGCCTCTGGAACGGGCCAAGAACTCTGGATAACTGTGGGACCATCGGGAAATGAATCTGCATGGTTACCAGCCAAAAACATGTCTTGGGGAAAAGCAATTTACGAGAATGACATGACCCATTTCCCAAGCCTTTAAATTGGAGTCTCAAATTTTAGACTTCCGTTCCATATTCCATCCCAATTCGACGATTTGTTCTTTGAGAGCCGCCGAGGTCAGCGAAGTCAAGGGATGAGGCCACAGTCTGCTCGGCCTGAAAGGGACGACCAAACAGAGGTCAAAATTGGATAGCCCAAAAATGGTTTGTTTCTGATATGAAAAGAAATTGGCCAGTTATTCTTTGCTTGCCCATTGCCTGGGTATTAAATTTTGACCAATAGCCAGGTGAAATACGATGTAGTCAGCGGACTTGCAGGGAAGCTTAGCAGTCCAACGTCATACAATGCCCATTGTATAACTATAGTTACATCATGTCATATCTCCCACAAAGTATAGATAACCTTAGAGAATCTGACTGGTTATAAAGCAACTTAGCTACGTAGAGGGGGGCCCAGCTGGAGGCACCCACTGTCCATCCAGCAGCACCTGTTTCCCCAGCGATGTGGGGTGCCGAGGGATCTCATGGAAGCTGTGGCCTGCAGTTGATAATTATCAAATAGGATCGGATACGTATGGAGAGATGAACTCGGGAAAATGGGAACTTACCGATCGCAGTGGCAAAAACTGGAATGTAAACCAGAAAGAGTGATGATTGTACCAAGTTTATCGCAGTTTTAGGATATTCTCGAATCACTGTTGAGATTTGGGCAGATCGTCTTGGCCTCAACAGGGTGAGCTAATGATAGCTAGTGGTGATGAAAAATGGATGGCAATGGCCATGGAAGCAGACTAACTAAGCAGATTATTTATGATATTTATGTATGTTTATGATATATATGTTACCCTCTGGTAAATTAACATAGACCCTGAAAACCACCATTTTTTAGAGGAAACTAATCTTCCAACCCCTATCTACCAGGGTCTATGTTAATTTACTGGAGGGTATTATCTAATATACCAATTAAACATGGTGATTAGCCACAATGCCACAACAACATGCCACAACAATGTTAGTTTGCCAGAGTGCGACTGATCTTCGCCATGAGGCCGCCGATGCGTCTTTGGATGCCCAAGAGCGCAGTACTTCACTTGGCACAAGGCGAATCTGCCTGTGATTTCCATGTTGGTTTAGATGGAGGAAACACAACTACCTCAAATAACATAATAACATATAATAACGTTAATTAATCATGTTGGCCCATACACATCCGAAATGTTTGAAACCATTGACTCATCGAGGCAAACCTTGGTCGGATGGGCGGCTGAACCACTGCAGACAATCTTTCAGTAACATTTTGAGCCGCAATTTGACCAAAAAGGGTCCAAAAAACGTTCATTGTTTTACTAGGGCACCCTACAAACCTAATGTTTCCTCTTTTGGCCGTCGTGGCAATACGGGAATGACAGTTCGCACTCCTGAAAATAGGCAAACCTGTTGAAATAATGGTTGGGTTGATTGGGCTATTCATTGGGTTATTCTCCTAATGTAAAGACAAGCCTGTACTACTGAAATGCAACTGTTTCCCTGACGAGTGACTGTGGGGAGGATCTTTGCCAAAGATCTGCCAGGTGCATTCCCTGCATTGGCGTCCAAGTTCAATTTGCACATTGAAGCCGTTTGGCCAAGTTGAGAGCCAGGCTGCAGGCTGCATGTGATTCTGCTGGCAACCTTAGATATCTCATCATGGTTGGGTGATATGATTTTTAATTTACAATAGACATATTTGGGATGCTGATCTCCAATAGTGAGCACATTTTTTGAGCGAGGGCTCAACCAGCTCAACCACAAGCTCTACAAATGCTTCATGAAAATGTCAAAATGTTTTGAATCCAAAGGTATATAACTTTCATAATCTTTCGTGTTTGGTAGCGTTGGTCTTGTTTTTATTTTTGTTTTTGTGTCATCCTGTTCAACATCATCACCGGCAATTTCGGACTAAAACTTGTAGGTCCCTTGGTCCCTCACGAATTCTTTCACCACGACTAAGGTGAATGGCACAATGGACCCCAGCTTTGCCGAGGTCCAATATCTCCGTTGCTCTACTGGAAGTTGTGATTCTGGAATATTCTGGATAAGCCAACTGAATTGAGAAGCAACCGTAACTGGGGATACTGAGGAATTGGCCCATTATTCCCTTCGGATAAGATTTTGATTGAAAAGGATTGTAGCCAGTATTGGCCTGGGTAAACCTTGGTGAATGGTCAATTCAAAGTTCAATAGTTCAATGGGGGTTCTGGATGAATATGGTAACAACTCATTTCTGGCAAGACTGGACATCCAAACTGTTCAAAGTCATGGAGGTCCATTCTTGAGTCGATAGAATGACAAATGATGTAAAACGGTTTGTCGGCTTGCTATGATGTGAAATGACAAAACAAGTTGTAATGCAATGTTGTAAAACGATGTAGAATACAACAGATTTGGCATGTGTTGCTATATTAGGCTTTCTCACCACTGATTTTGTGATAACCCCAAGCAACCAGATTCTTTTGCCCAGTGTCACACTTTGCGCTCAATAGTTGGCAGCCACTTAACAATCCAATCACCACCACCAAACCGTACACTTATGAGTTATGACACCTACCATTCCACTATATTCCAGCCATCATAGAACATATTTACATAATTTTTGAACTGTATAATGGCACCAAGTAACATAACTGTAATGGCACCAATCTCATTTAAACAGCATAATCATATATGTTCATATATATATATACAGTATAATTATATATATATAATATATATATATGATCACCAGTCCCTATATATAGGACTGACATGATATTCAGTTCTATCCGTCTGCCATGGCGCAATGTGGGCGTCCCTGGATCACCTCCTTCCAAACCGGCTGCGAGAGAGCGTGGCCCTGCGAAGGAGAATGACGAATGAAATTTTGCGGTTTCTACCGGTTGAGGGTTGTATGTATGTATATATATATATACATATATATAAGCCCCATGAATACTATATATAATACTATTACGCGCAAACACCCCGATTCGCCCACACCCCTTCTATGCTGTACACTTGGGGATATCAAACGTTAGACTTTACATTCAATTGGGAAGATCAACAAGGGTATTTAGGGAATATAAATTTCCCACCCCCGTTAAACTTTACATTCATTGAAGATCTTCAATAAGGGTGTAATTCTCCCACCCCCGTTAAACTTTACATTCATTGAAGATCTTCAATAAGGGTTTAATTCTCCCACCCCCGTTAAACTTCCACATTCATTGAAGATCTTCAATAAGGGTTTAATTCTCCCACCCCCGCTAAACTTCTACATTCATTGAAGATCTTCAATAAGGGTTTAATTCTCCCACCCCCGCTAAACTTCTACATTCATTGAAGATCTTCAATAAGGGTTTAATTCTCCCAACCCCGTTAAACTTCAAGATCTTCAATAAGGGTTTAATTCTCCCACCCCCGCTAAACTTCTACATTCATTGAAGATCTTCAATAAGGGTTTAATTCTCCCAACCCCGTTAAACTTCTACATTCATTGAAGATCTTCAATAAGGGTTTAATTCTCCCAGCCCCGTTAAACTTCTACATCCATTGAAGATCTTCAATAAGGGTTTGATGATGGTGGTGATGATGATGATGATGATGTGGTGTAAGAGACTCGCACAGGTCCCTATGCTGTGCGTGCCGATATAGAACATGAAGTTAGCCATGATGCAAAAAACTTCCATTTTTACCACGTCTTCAGCACATACGAAGATGGCCGCGGACAAGCGCGGGCAAATCAAGGTGTTTGGCCGTACTATTACTATAGTTATATCTACCATAAACCATAGTTAAGCTAGTTATAAACCAACTTAGCCATCTAGGAGGCCCCACCCTGTACCAAGAGGCTATAATATGGAGATCATGGAAAATCTTGTCAATACAGAATTTGGGTGTCTAACTGTACTTGATCATGGAAAAACAAACTTTTGGATATGTCAGGGACATGTTATATTTTTCCATGAGCTATAAGAATATGTTCCCATGTTATCTTTTTATCAGGGAATGTCTGAATCCTGTTATTCTAAAACCATGAGATCATGATCCTGGACTCCAAGGGTGGTTGCTTGAAATGAAACTGACGGCTGGTAACATGCCACATGGACAAATGTGCTACTCTAATTATACTGAAACCAATAACCATGGTATATCCCCAAACACAACTGGTATATTCCCTTTGTTTGTGGGTCCTCCGTCACTTGAATTTGGTAGTTTTTCTGTGGGTGATTGTTCAGCCATTGTTCAGGAGATTTTTTGGGTGATCAAGCCCACTTTGCAAGTCTTGTATGGGTCAGTAGTCATTATGTGAATTTATGTGTATATAGCACATGTTTTTTCGATCTATCTTCAACGAATTGTTAACTAAGGCTGGATTTGGCACCCGGTGGTTTAGAATCCTGGGGCCCGGATGTTCAGGAACTGGTGCCACAGGGACCCACAGGGACCCCGAAGGGGTCCCCGAAGATGACATCCCACATTTCATGGCTTTTCAGTTGCTGACCAACTTGATTGGACACGCAAAATTTAATCATGATTTTAGAGTCAACAGAAAGAAAAATTGGGTAGATGAGTGATTGATCAGCTATGTGGATGGGAAGATGGGATGACAACCAGAAAAGATTGGGATAGCGTTGTATCCCATGGTCATTCATAATATGTTTATAGATTAAGTATGTCTACATGATTCTGTGTTCGTTGGTCAAGAGGCCGTTGTATACCCATATTGGGGGATGGTCATGAATTCATCAATGTTGACATACTTAATATATATATAGTTATATATAATTATATATACAGTATACACATGTAATGATTTATTACTAATAATAATGATAAGCAGCCTCAAAAAGATAGAACAGCAAAATCCAACTGAAATAGTGATAAATTACTTTTCTATCTACTTGGGAATCTATTTTTTGGATTCTCACCTCTTTTGGATGGAGAATCATTCCCCACTCGTTGTCTTGGCAGGAACTCTGCAGGAGAGAGCGGTCGCGTCAGCCTCATGGCCGAGAAAACATAAGCAGTGTTTCTCCCATAGTTTTCCAGTTGATTCCGACACATTCCGACCATTTTAGGATGATTTTGTGGCTCCCAATTGCCCATGGACCTGGAGTCTAACTCAGCGGCAACCCCATTTGGGATGTTGGTTTGTGCCAAATCGTTTCAGGTCATTCTTCCCATGTGCAGTCTTCGAACATAGGAACCATGGAAAAGTTAGGGCGGTCCCCCTGAAGGTATGCTTTTCACACTGACATCAAGTCAATGGCAGCCTGTGCACTTTACACCTCATCGTACGATTTACATCGATTTGCCATGATCCCGAATGATCCCCTTAAGGTCTGTGATCATTGTGATGTTCTACCAGTTTTCAGCTGGCGAAACCATCTACCAATTGGATTTCTTACCACAAGTTGGGTTCACCCAATCATAACTGGTTGACTTCTTTAGGTCTCTAGTGTGCACCCAAGACGGGTCACGTCGTCTCAACGTGACGCGCGCAGCAAACTGGGACAAACTGGTGGTTTCAAACATGACTGTTATTTTCCATAATAAAAAAGGGATGATCCTTCCCATTGACTTTCATATTTTTCAAGGGATAAAATCACCAACCAGAAAATAATGAGAATGATAATAGGGATTTGACCAAATGATTTGACCCCGAAATGAGGATTTAACATGATTTAAGCAAGAAGATATGAGGATAATGATAGATAATCAATAAGGTGGTAGACTCAGTGCCCTAAACCTACCATTTGGGAAACTACTATAATAAGTGGGTCGGAAGGGAGATCACCCAACTGATGCCAAATTCTGTCATCTTCTGTCTTTTTTTGTTTCCGGAAAGCGCCATATCAAAATGGACAAACACCTCCTTTTGTTGGTGACGATGACATGTTTTTTTGCCTTTTTTGCGCCGGGGGATTCCCAATGGTTCTACCCCACCATGCAGATCCGAGGTATCATTTGTCCCAGCACAGATGAGCGGATCCACTTTCACCCGCAGCTCTATCACTGCTTCGCTGCCCAAAGGTGGCACGATAAGGAAGGGGCTGGCTACAAGAAGTGACATTGGGCGGCAACGTGTTCAAAGGGCGAAACGTTTTTGCATGATATTACATTTATATTGTCATATCTACATAATACACATCCAAGCACTGACCTATGAATTGTATAATATTATATATATACTGTATATATATATATACTGTATTGTAATTTATTAATGTGGTTTCTATGTCAATGCGGTTCTATTAGTTGCATATGAAAATACCGGGATATTCATCCCTACTGTTCCGTGCTTCGAATTGCACCAGGAGCTGGTTGTTATCGACACTGGCCGCAGACCATCTCCCTTTCTACGCACCTACGCTGCAGCTGCACGAGTAATCCCAACATGTGAAAACCGTCTCTATCTTCTCTTCGCTAAAGTCCAAGAAAACATTTTGATATATCCATATACCCTCTGGTAAACTAACGTAACTATGGAAAATCACAATTTTTAATGGGTAAATCCACTATAAATGGCAATTTTCAATAGCTATCTTAGTTTACCAGAGGGTATCTCCTGCGCTTAGGCCGAAAGATGTTGGAAGATCAACGTGTCATCTACCAACATTTCGAGGTTTCAGCCACAGAGCGCCTCGGACACGTCGGAACCTGTCATATCAAGATCCTTCATTCTGAGATGGCATCGAACTGGAACATCAAGATGTCCTGTTTCTAAACAGTTCAAAACAACATCAATCTATATATATATATATAATTATGTTGTATTTATATCTATACTATCATGAATCATATATATAATAATACACATTATTTCTCAATCTATTTATATTAATGATATGTAATGTATATTGATATTTTATACATTATATTACATTAATATGTTGTACATTATATTATATATATAACATATTAATATATATATATATAATATAATATATAATATATTATATGTTAATATAATTATATACATATAGTTATATATATATAAACACACTGTATATATATATACACAGTGTATATGTTTTATATGTTTCTTTCTTGGACGTCACTATCAGACAACTATCAGCAAATCATTCATTTCAGCCGACGGTTTAGGTTGTTGGGCGAAACCGCTGGGTTAAAGAGAAATTTATAGAAATTTCATGTTCTCACTATAGTACATTGCCCATGTATTTGATCTACTGTATTTCGCTGGGGGACTATTCCTTGCCGTTCTATACCAAGCTAAAATCAAGGTCATCTAGAAGGAAAGAGCACAATCGGGTTCCTGGGCGGACTGGACCTCGCAGAAATTGTGCTCTACCTAGGGCCAACAATAGATGACCTTGAAACTAAGATTGAATGAGAGGATGAGCCAATGTACTTGATGGGAACTGCCCAGCTGTTCAATAGCTGGCAGTTCTGGATGTTCATATCTCCACAAATTGATGGTCCGAAACAGTTGTTGTCCTTATATTCATAAAATGATTTCATAAATATCTCCAGTCTTGATACACTAGTAATGTCTGAATTTCCCACCTTCAATACATCTAACTGTCCATAACTGTCTATGATTCGACAAATATAGGGATGTCAATTCGGTGGCCTGTCCATCCTGTCCCATTTGAAGGTCCAAGGGTCCAATGGGTGATTTCTTCAGGTGGTCGGTGGGCTTCAAGCGAAACCTTGCAAACCTCTTGGCCACAGGAGTACCACGGCGGTTAGCCAATGATTCAATGGAGACGCCCCGGTCTACCAATGGTTCGCGCATGTTGCGGTGTGAAGGATACGTTTGGATTCCAGAGTCTTCTAGAGGTTTGGGGGTTTGACATATTTAGGACTATTTAAGTGCGTTTTCTATCCTGCCTGGGATGATAATTAATCCGAATTGACACATATTTTTTGACATTGATTGAAGCAACCAACCAGGACAATGCTCGCGCTCTAGTATCGGTGGATTGACGGCCACCTGCATAAATTGTAATCTGTGAGGCAAACCAAATCCACCGTGAATAGCATGATGATGTTTGACATGATTACCCACTATTGCCCATGATTGTCATTATATTATCATTTATGATACATGATTGATCGGTATGAGCTAGCCTGCGTTACCCAGGTCATATGCATTACCCAGGTAATATGCCATGATTGGGGAAGTCCTGGTGCCGATTTTCACAGGAGCCATCATTGCGCACTTCGACGACGATGATTTCTATTCTCCCGAGTATTTGGACTTTATGCTGGAAGGCTTGGAGATATATCAAGATTGGCCCAACTGTTAGGGGTTGAACATAGTAATGACCTCATTAAACTCATGGGCGTTTGCTGAAAACTAGATATTTTACGATATTTTATACGTATATTATAATACGACTCCATCTGGGATGGGCCAAGGAAGGTATCCGAGGTGTTTTGTCAAAGGCCAAACAAAACTCGCCCTGCCAAGGAGGAGTTTCAAGGCCTTCGAATCGTTTTGCTTCGCCAGAAGTCCGCACAAAAGTGAATTCATGTTTCGACTCCCATGGACTTCTATAGTGAAAAATGTTTTAGTTTCAATTTCAAAGTTCAATATGCCGATATTCATGAATATCCTGTAGATGTGCAAGATTGTGCAAACACAGGTGCCATTGACTCGAAACCAGGAAAATACGTTACTTTCCAGTAGAGAAGGTTTCGATGGGTCGCACCCTACTTAACCCCAGTGTGTGTTTGAAGTTTGGATTGTGACAGATATCGACATGTAGAACATGGTAGAATTTGATGAGACGAAGATGTAGCCTCAGATGTGTATGGCTCTCAATTGTGTTCTCAATTTGGATACCTTCAGATCCCAAACATGATTGTTGCATATTGCATATATTGCTGCTGTTTTCTCAATGCTGCCACATCGGAGCCAGACACTACATCCCTTTGTTCCCTGTCTCACTATGTTCGGCTGGTTGGCAGGTTTGCAAAATGCAGCCGCTGTGACGCTGGCCAGTTGGTTTGTCCTGGATGCTTGTACTGGATACTTGGCACGTGTGACCCCCAAGGAGGATGGATCAGAGGAGCCAGAGCCCGCATCATCCAGCATCCAGTTTTCGGGTAGTTGCCATTGGCAAATTTTTCCAGTCAAAAATCAGAATTTCCAGCAGAACTTCCCAGAACAATACGTAGGTTACCCTCTGGTAAACTAACATAGCTATGGAAAATCACCGTGTTTAATGGGAAAATCCACTATTAATGGCCATTTTCAATAGCTATGTTAAATTACCAGAGGGTAGCCTCATGTTAGCCGCTGTTAGCTGATGCAGATCCGCAGGACAGCTGGCTGCTGGGCTATGGTTTTTCCTATGTCTATCGGCGTGCCGCAGCCCTGGCCCAGCCCTTTCCCCACGTCCACTTTGGGGAGGACAGCAACTCGTTGGACTCTAGAGACCCACGCCAGGTGGGGCATAATTCACAGCAAGCATTTGTTGTTTTTGGGGGCATCCAAGGTTAGAGGACAGGTTTTGGTCAACAGCCCCAGGACTTTGCCTTCCTTTCCACGTTGCGCAATGCTGGACATGGTGTTCGTACCATCCATGATGAGGTGTGGAATGATCTGGGTCTGTCGCAACCGAACCATGGCTGACCAAAGCCCATAGAATCCATATGATGGCAAGGATAATTGGAATCATCCCAAAATTGCAAAGTTCTTCAATAAGTATACATATAAATATATATATATATAGATCATTGTAATCTATTCTAGTAGTCTATTGTAATTTGCCCAGAATAATGACCAATGTTTTTTTTCTGTTGTGGTCAAAAAGAGTGCTATGTATTCCATATATATATATGTAAATATTGCTAGGTTTTCCATGCAGGGTAGAATAGTTTATCCCCACCAGTGTTGAATTCTATTGATGGTCTGGGATCTTTGTGTAAACCATCATCCAGCCCTATCATTGTGCGGAATTGGCCTTTTATTTTTTGACAGACAGAGGATTCAATTGATGATTGAATGAAACATGACTGGATTGAAATGAATCGAAAAAGATGTCCCAAGGATCTTGTGACAATTTTCGCGCTTTCACCGTTATGGGGGTTCTCTCCCCCTTTATGTTGATGAACATTTCATGGTTTATACTATACCCTCTGGTAATTTAACATAGCTATTGAAAATGGCCATAGAAATAGTGAATTTTATTGAATTTTCCCATTAAACATGGTGATTTTCCATAGCTATGTGGCTGTATACCAGAGGGTACCTTTTCGGTGACTTAGGTCCATCCCGTCGCGAAGAAACCATTTGATCCGTTGTCAACCTCAGGAGGGCCATGTCCTTCACCTGCAGCAGGGGCTGAACCTGTCACATTCCCATGGGCAGGACACGGCAGTTCCATAGTTCGATGGTTTCAAAACGTTTCAAAGACGTGTTCATTTCAACTCTAGATGATCATCCCGGAATCTCAGCTATCAACCACACCAGGAGTTTGTTCATGTTTTTTTCCGTTGCTGCGCCAAGCTTCGCGATGTTTGGAAGGAGGTTCCGTTGCGAAGGCTTTGGGAGATGCCTGTGGCAAAGGCTGGGATCCGTAGATCCAGGTGTGTCCCCAACGCATGGGGAAGCTGGCAACCAAAAACAACAAGTTCATTTCAAATTGAAAACGGAAGGCAAACATTTGCACACTTGAAATTACTTGAAATTGAAGAGTTTATATTAATAAATTGCAAATTGAAAACTGATGGCTAATTTGTGGGTTAAGTTCAAGTTGAAAACACGAAAGATTCGCAAGAAGAGTCTGTGCGATTTCGGCAGAGTGAGAATTTTGTCCTCGGAATTCAGAACAAGAGGATTTGCAGGAAGTTTTTGTAGTTTGTTGCATGAAATAACATCAGCAACAAAGACTTGGATGCCTAACAACAAAGTGATTTGTGTGTACAAATTCCACATGTAGCAACAAGGCTTGGAGCGAGCAATGCAGACATTATTCCCATCATCGCAATCTATTTACATTAAGGGGCCCCTGCCAGGTACGACTAAAATCGACTCCATGTTTATCCCATTTGACCCTGGGTATGTCATTCACATGCATTTACCACATGGATAGCTGATTTTGTTTGTTCTCCCCTTACACGATATATATATATATTACACGATATATATACATATATATATAATATATATATATATACATATCACTATATATATATACTTAATATATCCCTGTGCACATTTCCAGTATGACATGGTGGGACGCATGTTCCATTTCAGAGTCCATTTGTATAAAGAAAGGAACCATTTGTAACGACTTGTGCCCAGTGAATCCTGCCATTTTTTAAAAGGCCTATGTTTACTTGGGCGAAGCGTTTTGTAAGAGCCAAATTTGGCCCAAATGCGTGAAAAAATGACGTCGGGGCCAGTCATTTCATGACACTGTTTGGGGCTCATTTCACGCAGCGCGAATTGAAATCTCGAAAACGACCAGGAACCATGTCTTTTTTGTTGAATTGAAAATTTGAGGCGCGTGCATGCTCATATGTTTGCCTGAGGGTGTGAAACTAGTTTTCTTACAAAATGGCTTGAGGCTAATACTATATATATATAATTATATATATCATTCCATATATCATTACATATACATATATCACAACATTGCATATTATATATATATGCTTAATTATATATACATAGTAATACATAATATCATAATATATATATACATTAAGATATACATGTGTATGCGTATGTGTATATATTAATGTACATATACACATATTATGGATCATGTTGTTGTTTGCACCATGATGGCCCCACCCAGCTGCCCCGCAGCCCAGCTAGACTGTGCCAGATCCCAGCATTTCCTCCGGTGCGGCGCATGGACTTCATCGCATCTTCATTCATCAGTGTGGGTTGGAGCCTCAATCAATGGCAGGATCCAGAAAATCTGGTCGCATGAGTCGTAGATCTTGAAACGCCACTTGGGGATCCCAGATGTTTTCAATGTGATTCAGGAGATCGAGGCCCCATTTGAAACTGGTCCTCCTAGGTTCGGCCCATGGCCTCTACTTGCGGCCGCCACCTTTGCTGGACCTTGGGAGCATGCGCCGGGCCTTGCGAGAGATGGGAGTGCTTGGAATCTGGGACAGCATGACAGATGGTTGCATGAGCATCGAAATAAAGATACCTCCTTAAAACAATTACGATATCTTAGGATTGCATCTTTTGATTGCTGAAAAAGTCCTCTGCTGGGATTGTTGTATTTCAATGTATTTCATATTATATGATGTTATATAGGGGGATGAATTTCAATAAAGTAATGACATAATGTGGGTGTCAAACAGACCATCGCCAGACTTCACCCATGGTTCAGAGGATCATTCCCTCCTTACTCGTAGGAGATGACTACGACTATGACCTGTGTGGGCGAAGTTGTGCTTGATTCGAGAGGGGGACGAGGGAAGATGTACAATAAGTTTTTTGTGCTAAAACTATACTAAACACAATGCCTGTTTTTTTCTGGCGCAAAATCAACCCATGGACGATGCCCACTCTCTGCCTGTCATGCCAAGGAATCTCCGAGTCACAGCTGCAAGGGCAAGAAGAGCCCGGTGCACCTTGGTGTTTGGCATTTCATTAGTTTTCATTGTTCACTTGTGCCACGGCTTTCCCTGAAACGGGATGATGGTCTTAGTGACGATATCATGCTCAACTGTTCAACAATCATCCAAAACTTCACCCACCTCTGTTTTACCCAGCTACCAAGCAGTTTACAATCACCCCACCTAGAATCTGACTGGGATTGCTTTCAATCCTGCCATGAAAGATGGGATTTACATGGATTTTCATGGATTTTCCAAGGTTTCCTGCCAACCTTTCCCATCCTTTCCCATGAAGATATGGATGTCCCGCCATAGCGATGGCTTCAGGATGTTCTCCTCAGTTATCGACTTCGACACCGCTCGGAGCTTTTTGTGGAACCAGGCGCTGCCGTAATCTGAGTGGTGAGTCAGGGCCTGTCCACTCATGGTAGTAGCAATTAGATCTACTTTCCAACAAACCTGGCAATGGACAAGGAAAATACACGAAAATCCATGAAAACACAATTTGACTATCCTGTTATGATCTCTGCGTTTTTTTACGGACCTCCCATTTCGGACCGAGATTTCCAGCAATGGGCCCTTGGTTGAAAACACAGCAGTTTTCGTCACTCCAAGGGCACTTCGAGAGAGATGCCCTGGAAAGCGTCCATTGGCTTTAGACAAATCGGCACAAGTTCCAGGTGTTTCTGTCACAACCAAAAAAGTGGGGACTCTCAAGCCTTCCAAGCATTTTCAACCATTTTTTCCAGCGAAATAAACATGAAATCGGCTGAATCCTGTTGGATGTATCCGTCGGACCCGGCGAAGGACGCATCTTCGGAGCTCAGCGGCGCTGGAGTAGCGCTGTGCCATTGCCCCAAGACGTGACCAAGCAGAGTTCTGGAGAACAGTTGGCACTGAGGCCATGGATTGAGATCGCTGGGCAATAGGTTGGTGGAATATTGTAATATATTTATTATAGATACTGTATGATATGATATAATATAAACTATTGATTGTATATGTAAATATAATATATTATTTAATAGATACAATAGATATATTTATTCGTAATTTATAATAAATGTAATATGTATAATAGCTATAATATATATATATAATTTAACATGTATAATATATAAAATATGTGTTAATATTATATTATATTAGTATTATAATACATTATATCATATCATATCATATCATGATATGATATGATATTACATTATATTATATTATATATTATATTATTTTATATATATTATGTATATAATGGATTTGATGCTGGCCCATTTCAGATCACAGGGTGGATCAATTTGCTCCAAGTTTTGGATTTTGGATTTTGGAACTCAACCATGGTGCTAAAAGCTGCCTCCCCCATTTGACGGGATATCTCATTCAAAATTGATCTGGTAGAAAGGTTTCAAGACGCGCTGTGTCCATGAGAAACAATGCATATAACACAATAACACCCACCAAGGGTTGGAGTTGGCTTCGTTCGTCGAACGGTGCGATTTTGTATCGCCCGAAAGAGGGCAGTGCTTTCTGACTTTCTGACCCGCCACCTTGTACAAACGCCAGGAAAGCTGTAGGGTTCTCAGGTCTTGCACTCTTTCCCCATATAAAGAAGAGTGAGAAGAGACTATCCTAAGTTCTTACATTTGTATACTGGTGTTCTGTGTCCACGGATTCATATCTTGTATTTTCTATAGCCGAGTCCGTTTGATTGGTCCTGTTTTGCCTTCAGAAAGGAACGACCCCGGCAGTGGTGTGCAGGCATGTGATGCAGCAATTGCTGAGTCGATGCCCTCCGCGTTTATCTGCCTTTAAAGAATACGAAGGTTCGCTGTGCTGCGTACCGCAAGGGAGATGGAGCGGAACACATAAAGACTCAAGTGAAATGGTTTGCTCATGAGGGCTATATCAGGGACTCCTTTTCTCAAACAATTAAAACCTTTCCGAGAAAAAGAATCCTGTTCAACCACCAAACTTTTTATCAAACAGGAAAGTTTCCCTACCCCTATTTGAAGATGGAAAGGGCCGGAGGATCACCAATTCAAAGCCTGGAATGTTGTGAGGCTACTGCAGCATAAATATGGTACGAAACCGCCATGATACGAAGCTTCCTTGTCAGGATTCATTCGTCTTGAAGCGCTGTTTGCCTCGCACATAGCTTTACTTGCGACAATCTGGAGAATGTCGTGCCTCTTCCCACGGGTCTCTCAGCAAACATCGAAATGTTGATGTTTGGTGGGATGAAATTGGGCTTTCTCATGGTTAGATGTTTGCATCGATCAACGGTGAAATAAATCAGGGCTTGTTGAATCCTGGCAATATGATGTTCGTTCCAGAATGCGAAAGCTGCTGAGGAACTGGCCAGGAATGATGGGCTTCAGGAACCATCAGGAACCTACTTAGACGATCTTAGACGTTTATCTTGGATCTACTGTAAGTAGAATCTAATTGGTGACGGTTGGTAAGTGAGATCATAAAGTTTTATATGATTAGCAAATTGTACCATGTTGTACCTGAAAACCTTAAAACCTAAAAAAATGTTTGCCGCAAGCATAAAAACTTGGTTTCAGGCAAACATGGTTTAAAAGACAGGTTTATACTTAAGAAACTACATTTCACCCCCTATGATTGCCATGTTCGAATTATTTGTCAATAATACATATATTGTGTTGTTACAACATAGTCCACAAGTAGCCACTGATAGCAGGATCATGAAATGGATTCATGGGCCGATTCAGGGAAATATCGATGGAACTGTGTATCATATTGTACCTAGTTCAAGATAAACACAGTTTAAGGGTGAAAACAGAAGTTCTTTCCAAAAAAATATGTGTTCCATTCAAATAACCCGTATTTATACCATACAAACGGTAATTACCCCGTGAATGCCCGTAGCCAAAATATTGGTTGTTGGCTCCAATTTCTCGGCTGCTATGTTTAAACAGAAATCGTGACCTAGATACAAAAAGCGCCATGATAGCAGTATAGCAAAAATGTTGTCATGTGAGACCTGTTTGCGCATTTGACTTTTCAAGACAGTGTGCAAAACATTTTTTAAAAAAAGCATGAATTTGAAAAGCCATGTTTTTGGAGTAAACACTGTTTTTTTGACAAAGAACCTACATTTTCACCGGTGTTTGGTTGTCTTTTTAGATGGGATGTTCTCAGTATATCTCAGTCAATCTGTGGAAACTTTCAAAGAAATTGTCAAGAACGACTCAGCTATAGCTGAATCCCTTGGGCTTTCCAGGCTGGTTTCATCCGGTTTTCCGGCCAGCCTTGCTCAGGTCCGCTTTGAGATGTGCATTCATGCGGAGGATTCTATGATCATGTCATGTGGCTGGGGTTTTGCCAATGAATCATCCCTCTGATTGGATATCTGGTTGGTGCTTTGGAACATGATTTTTATTTTTCTATATATTGATAAATAATAATCCCATTTGACTAATATTTTTCAGAGGGGTTGGTCAGCCACCAACCAGATATGTATCAATGTATATAATGTAAAGTGTAAAGAAACGTATTTGTTGTGCATTGTTCGACTGGGCCCGATGAGATGAACAGAGTTTGTCTCACTGGACAAATTCAGGTGATCTGTCAAGGATGGTGCAGATATTTCTATTTAGATCTATTTTGTACTTGGATGTATTTGGTACATATAGATTCAACTAAATAGATCTATTATGTTGTAGTAATTTAGATCATTTTGCTATATTGTTTTTACGTTTTTTCCATGAGATTCAACCTACAGCCTGATCCTCATGCCTGATGCTCATGATATCTGATGATCCCGGCAGGATCCAGTCTATCTTAGCGAAATGAGTGCCTTCAAACAGAGAGTGGCATCCATGCAGCTGTTGATGCAGGCCGCAGCCATGCCGCATGAGCCGAAGCCTCGCAATGACTGCAAAAAGGAATGACTAAGGAATGACTAAAATAAATTATTGGAATATCTTAGAATTCAGTGACGCCACATTTGACATGAGGTATGGTTTGGTGTTATTTTGTCGATGACTTAGCCATGGTAAGCCATGGTTTCTTGAGAGGCAGCTTTTTGATCTTGTGGTGCGAGGTCATCTCGAAGCCCTGAGCCGTGGGACTTCAGGCTGTTGGAAGTTGCCAACACGGCCGCTCACGACACTTCTATCATTTCCAGCGGCCATGACACGCCGGCTCTGTGCAAAATGCTGGTTTGGCACTCGGCTCCGTGTGTCAAAACTATCCCAATCTACAGAGCTGCGAAGATGTCCGAAAGATGATCGAAACCCATGGCACCTCTGCATATCCTGTAGGTTTGCTGCAATTGTAGTCAAGCAAGTAAACCACTAGTGACTAGTTTGCAGTACTCTCTGGGAATCCAACCTGATCCGTTCGAAAACCCCTCATTGAAATCAGTTGAACACAAGGCTGATTTCCTTATGAAGAAACCTGACAGGGGACGGAAAAACATTGGAACACATGTGGTTCTCCAGCCATGTTTGGGTGAGTCGGGGTGGGTATGCCCTCTCTTGGAGGGCGCCCGCAGGTTTGCCTCTACGGTGGTCTGACTTCTGTTGCTATGTCTCTGCTCTTGTTGCAGCCGCTCAGGATTTGAACCAGATGGAGTAGAGACAAATGGGGTCTGAAAATGGAGGATACCCTCCAGAGGCCATCCCAAAACTCAGGAATATGATGATCAACCATAGAATTTCAGGGTAACCCAAATGATGAAACATGATGAAAATGTGAGCCGTGGTTAAATATGGTCTGATTATGATAGATTATGTTCAACTGCATTGAAGGTATCATAATCCAACCGCATGGTTTGATTATATAGATACATTTGATTAGACCTAGTTATTATTGGTGTTCAAGTGCACGGAAGGTAATGGACTGGCTTCGTTCGGGTTGGACTGGGAGCAGTATTGGTTAAGGGCATCACTAAGGTCCCCGGCACATCTTTCTCCTCCAACCTTCCTACATATCATATCCTTGGTACTTCTGCAAAGCCTCCATCCTGCAGCACATCACCTACCTGTCCAACCACAGTTTTCCATGCAAAACCTTCAGTGTGCCTGGAAACTTCTTCACCGGACGAAAAGCCACAGGATGCACATGTGTTGTTCTACTGCTTGAAGTATGTTTGAGTCTTCTCTCAATCTATCAACACTATCAACATTGGCCCTTGATTCAACCTCCCCAGCTTCCGTCACCCTGGCAGTAAAATATGCCTGGGACCTCCCGGTTTTGATAACCGGAACTTCATCACAGAAGCAGTGGTTTGTCGCTGGGAAGAAGCACCAGCAACATCAGTAATAGCCTAGCAACCTTAATAACCAAAATCATCAAATATCAGGGGAAGGTTTTCCAGTCAGCTTAGAGGCTTAGATTGGCTTAGATATGCTTAGATGATTCTGATTCAAGTCTGAGGTGGCACTTGATGATTCTGAATTCCCAGCTGACCTGCGAGGAGCCAAGAGAAAAGGAGTTGGAAAAGCCAGATCTGTGAAGATGTTTGGATTCTTTGACCAACATGACCATGACCCACGAACGGAAAAACACTTATAAATGTTTCGAGAAGGAATCAAGTGGATAGCAACTCTTTGCAAATTGGAAAGCCTGACTCCTTTACAAATCCTCGGTGATTTGCCAATCCTGATATTTATCATGTGTTTTTTTCCAGCCACTGGACTGGATTGCCACAGTGCTGACTCAAGATCGTGGGAAAGACTATGGGCCCAAAATGGTATGGCTCAAAATATTGAGAAATACTGAGAAATGTCACAACAATAATACTGTATATATACAGTATAACAATGCACACACACGCAAAATTGGTCATGGTGTTTATATTGTAACCATCCCACAACAGAAAAGCACAGTTGCAAATCTCAGCAGTTTGACATCTCAAACTGGTTGGGTATAGTTTGCCGCTACGTTCACCTCAGCCTTTTCCAGTGTTGAGCTACACACAGTTTACTCAGTGCATAGCAGCCAAACCCAGCCAAAACTGAGAAAATGACCCCCCACAAGATTGGCATAGATTCGCATTTCAGTTTCTCGCATCTTGGGGTGCAAGTAACCCCACACTTATCGCAAGACCTGGTCATTTGTTCGATACACAAGTTTGGCATTTCCATTCTCATAATTCCCATTCTACTACGATATCCCTCTGGTGCCAGGCATCATTCTGCATCAGGATACAGTAACTTGAGTAACTTGCAGATCTTGACCTCGTCAGGCCTGGGGTGATCAGATGGAGGGTCGCAGGGACCCCAGTGGCTTATGATCATCTCCCACTCCACATGTTTCCCAAACAAAGTCAGCAGCTGAGCAACGCGGTGTCAAGACATGGCGGCTTGCTATGGCCCCACTGCTGGCCATAGGCATCTCCCACTACCCCGTGGAGCCTGGATTCGGATTTGGAAGAATGTGAAGAATGTGGGGTTGATTTGATGTGAAATTTGACATGTTGATTTCCAGTCACCCGTAGCTGCCGTAGCTCGATGTTTTTTCCGAACATTCCTTTGGTGTCCTTTTATCATTTGAATATGCGGACAAACGTCCATGAACGCCAGCTACGCACTGATGTTAATTCCTGGGTGCTAAGGTTTTGATTTATAGATTTAGGCTGGGGAAGACCCGACGACCATGCCTGGGCTTTGGGTTCTCGTCCATAGTGGCGAAAGCGCTTTGGGAAATTCATTAAATTGAATACCCATGTTTATAGGGGAAAACTGGGAAACCCTTGTTTATCAGATCAAAAATGCTGGGTATTAGCCGAACATGTTCCTTTGAACTTGAACGAACATATATGATTATTTTGGTGACTTATTGCTGACCAGTTGCGAAGGAAATCCTGTGGTCCAACCAGTCAGCCCATGGCTTAAAATCATTCCCAAATGTATGCGATATAGACATAGAGGTGTCCAGAAAGTATAGCAATGAGAGACTTCTTTGCTCCATTCGGAACCAAGTTTTGAGTACCCATAGATTCAGAATGATTCAGATATCCTGATAGAATTTCTTGATTTTGGGGGCAATGGCACCCAGAAACGCGGATTGTGATTACCAGTTACCAGCCTATGTTTGATGATTTTGATGGTAGAGACACATGTCAACACGAAAGCATAATTGGGTGTGTCTGAAAATAGTGTAATTACCCCTAAACCCAATGGTTAATGATCATTATCCCTATTAAATGGCTATAATTGGGAATATACCCTATTTTCAGACAAACCCAATTCTTTACCGGCAGATGTGCCCTCAGATGGATCGACAAAAAACAACTCTGCGAGGCCATGGCCACAGGCTTTACAGGTCAGCCATGGCCTCGGCACGGCAACACCGCGAAACCATTCCTGGAGGCCACGAAAGCTGCGAAGCGACTTAGTAGAATTCCACTGCTTGGGCAATGTTTAAATATGTTTAAATAAGACTTGAAGTTTACAAAGGTGTTTTATCAGGAGAATGAGTTCAAAGGAGCAAAAGACTAAGGATCGAAAAATGTCTCTTGCAGTTCTTCTTCGCTTATCCTTAGTGATGTAATTCCTGATGGGTCTAGGAATCATTTTTGTTTATTATTCATGTTTATTCATTATATATTCATTATTTAGGCATGGAACAAAACCTGAGATACACTGAAATACCATCATAGGGAGGATGAACATCCAGCTATGCCAGCTATTTTGGTGGCTTGACCTGATTAATTGCCGCGTTGTATCACCATAATCCTCATCATCTTAATGATGATGACCATCATCACAACCATTGCTCTGAGCACAAAAAATGTGTGAGCATGCATACGTAGGTACAATGATTATATATTACATACCCTCTCCAATGAAACAGCCCGGGGGTTCTGAATCCATGATGACATTGCACACATAATGTACAAATGTGATTATATATATATATATTTATTTATTGATGTTCATATTTATTTTTATGTTTGTATATATATGTGTGTGTACATCTTTGTATAATATATATATATATGTACATTCTGACACTAGCAATCAATACCAAGAATTATGTAGGGGTATGATCAACAATAATGATAATAATATTAATAGTAATAGTCATCAAGAAACTAGCAATAACAAATATACCAATACACGATGATCACAATCATAATCCTGACAATATCGTCAATGGTGATAGTTATCATGATATGAGCACGAATGATAAGAAGCATCATAATACTAATAGTATCACAATCATTACATATAGATATAATTGGATATATATATATATAGATATGTATATATATACTGTATATCTATATCTGTAGACAATATATATATATATAATATATATGTATATATGTATAGATACATGTTTATTCAATGATTCAAATGAATATTGTCAACCTTTCATCACTGCATCACTGCAAGGCTTCAAGAGCGGCAGCATCTTGCCTCCGTGACGGCGCTGTGGGGGGGCCCGTTGTGGGGACCAACGGGGACCAACGGATGAGGAGATTGACCATGGAGAACCTCTGGTAGCATAACAGTTTGCAAACTGGAAAGGAACCATTAATGCATGATAATGGGTAATAATAGTTCATTATAGTGGTAATAACCACTACAGTATCATGAAAAATGATGGTAACCTCATGGTAATAGTAATAATGATGATAATGCAATAATAGTGAAACTACCATCATTAATGACTAGGAATTACCATCGTAATTGTGAAATAAGAGTAGAAATAAGAGTAATAGTGATAATCATCATCACAAGAATAGGCAAATCATCAAGGGTAAATCGTCGAACTGCGGCTGGCTGCCTTCAGGTTAGCATGTAATTCTGGGAAAATTTTGACGGTTCATCACTTTGATGGGGGCATACAAGGGATAAAATGGGGAAAACATTGGGATATAGAGTATGACAAAGGATGACCAGCAAGATATGATTTTGGTTTTGTTTGGAAGCTTGATATATTCCTCACATTGTGATTATCTTAGCGGGGAACGTGATGATTAACATTGATTATGGATCTAGGGGTACACTATTTTCAGCCGCTCTGATTCTGCGTGGATGACATTGTAATCAGTAAATGGCTGGAAATATCTGGACATGATTAGTTTCTGTATGGTATACCCTTGCAAGTGGAATTCATTTTATTGAGGATATTTTGGGTATGCAGTGGATATCAACTGAATGGAACATGATCTGGAACTGTTTCATACAGTCCTTTTGCCGCTGGTTGGTCAATCAATATAGGGTAACCTTCGTTCTTCACAACTTGTAAGAAAATGGCGGTCATAAGACCAAACCAACCCCTTCCATGTTTTTTTTGCCCCAAAAGCACATCATTGGGCATTGTTTGAAGCAACAAAAACTGACCTGTGGCGACACATAAAAGTGAGGGACTGTCTGAAACTTGTGCTCCAGCTTATTCTCTGGTTTCTAGATCTTGGTGCTTGTCAAAATGTGGTTTTGGCATATTCAATCTGAACTTGCTTGCGAAGGTGCTTTGCTGCATTTCGCACCTTGAGAAAGAGGAGCTGCTGGGCAGTTCTTTGATATGAGTAACTAGATGTAATTAATGTAATTAGTAAGAAACCACATTCTTTGCCACAAAAAGTTTGAGTTTCCATTTCCAAAGCTAAGTATTTTGTTTGACTCAATCTCAATCAAAGATTCTGTGAAGTACACGGACGGGTCTAGAGCGCAAGTTAAAGATGTGCTGGAGTGTGCCTTTGATACTGCCATGTCCAGACCATGTCCAAAGCGTTTCCAGAATTTCAGGAGACCAACTGGCCGTGCTGCTGCAGCCGGGGTTCTCTGGCTGGGACAGGACCGGGGCTCCATCTGGCACCCCCAAGACGGACCATTCTGGTGACGAGCAGTTGGAAATGGGTTAGTTGTTGGCTGTAGATGGTTAATGATGGTTATAGACTATAGACATATGCATATATTTGGTGAGTGGTTTCAAACATACAAACATATGTTAAGATATGTTAAGTATGTTCAGCCATGTTTTTTTATCACATCTGGGATTATGATCCACAATGACAAGCATAGTTTTCAGGGGCTTGCTCGGCCACCAACCAGATAATTATACAGGTGGCGTATCAACACTTCGATATTGATTGGCATTCTTTTCACCGGCACTTCAAGGGGCCACTTGGCTCAACATTCACCATCTTGACAGCAAACATGGGCTGTGGTGCGAGCTCGACCAAGGTGCACAGTGGGAATCTCTGGGAGCACAATAATGAAAATTCGTTGAATCCAAGTACCACATTGGGACTGGAACTCCGCTTCGAAGTCGGTGGTTTTCCTTCAGCCCCAACGTTCTTTAAAGGGATATATCAGGGTATCAATCATGTCTAATCAGTCTAATCATGTCACCAAATCAATGCGCACCTGCAAAGCTGGACAGGGCCAATGTGACATATCGAAGCATCCATGTTTCAGTCACGCTGGGCCACAGAGCCATGGACTATTTAAGTACATTCGTTCATTCACAGACTCCCAACAAGAAGTGTGAAGAGAACGGAACGAACTGAATATTCACAAAGTCCGGATATGTGGGCAGTTTCGAGAAAGTGTCCTTCAATAAGTTTCATTACCACATTTGGAAACGCCTGGGGGATAGCCTGTTTCCAACCAGAGGATTCAACTCTCCGAAAAGATTGTGAAGAAATGTTCAGATTCGCGTCCAGTAACATGGGGTCACCCACCTGGTTGAATCCTCATCGCCATAGCCATAGCCCAGCTCTCAGCGGGGGTCAACCGTTGGGAGCCCGTACATCCCGTACGGAACGATGGTGTGTTCCTTAAATCACCAGTGAGTTGAAGATTAAAGAAATCATTAAAAACAAGTTATAACTGTAATTAGCCATCTATAGCCATCCTATATCTCCAAGTTTTCGTTGCTTAGCATTTTATTGGGGATCTTTGGGGAACGTGGTAAATCACCAAAAAAACCTCGGGGATTTCCCAAGGGAAGCGATGGGACGCTAGGTGGTCGACTTTGATCCTGTGCGCTGGCCGAAGCCCCTGCCGGACTTTCCGGGTTCACCAGGCGCAAATCATGGGGTTACCATGGATTGGACACCTCCAGATGCTGGAGATACAGAATTATACAGACAGGATATGTATGGATAAATATGGATAAATATGGATAAATGGATATGTTATGGGATATGGAACTAATATGGCTGTGGATCAATTCGCCATGAAATGCGGTTGATGGTTTTCATCTAGCTGGTCTTAACCTCCTGGCTTGACATGGCTTGGCCTATGCTTATTACAACTTGCTACATGGTTGTTGCATGGTGTCCCACCAACAAAAAGTGACACACTGGTTACCCTCCGGTAATTTAACATAGCTATTGAAAACAGCCATTTATAGTGGATTTTCCCATTAAAAATGGTGATTTTCCATAGTTATGTTAGTTTACCAGAGGGTACCAATGTCTGGGAAAATAGGTGAAATATGATGACACTATATGAAATCACCTTATATGTAATATGTGTGTGTTCTCTGATCCCACAATTTGTGCGTTTCTCATAGCTGTTTTCAGCCAACAGACAAAACCAGCTACAGAAACCTCCCTCGGAAATGAGGATTGTTATTGATTGTCATTGTCATTTTTGGCATTCCCAGACGCTCCAGGTATGGTATTCGGGTCGTTTAAGATGTATATAAGTGTTGATGAGAATGAATTCAGAAAATATTCAATATTCCATGCATGGAGAATATGATATATATATATATATGTATATGATATATCGGAGTTATCTTCCTGTCACGTGGAATGCAATGTCAGGAGATCGAGTGACCAGTCAATCAAGCCTTCACTCCTGGACGGTGACAAAGATTCCTGGGAAGCCGTGCCCACCAAATCGCCACTCGGACAGTCTCCCCTCCCGAAAACCCAAAAGATCACAAAAGAAGTTGAGGATATTGGATAACATCTAAGGATGGGATATATTCATTGGATAAACATATTTCCAAGTTTCCAGGTGTCCGAAAATGCTGTACAACTTCAGTGTTGGCCAGTGTTGGCTCCTTGTGCGAACTGATCTTTGTCATGGCGAATCTGCTTGGATCTCGTGTGTTTTTCAGTTTAGACACATATGAGATTTCCCACTGTTGTTCAATGTCAACAGAGGCGCATACCAAGTATACGATTCACAGAAGTGAGATGGAGGGCATGCTCTTGGCATTTATCTTAACAATCGATCTGAGGCGAAATGCACGAAAGGCATGTGATGAAGATGGAGAAGTACATGTCAGCAGTGGAGTCGCAAGGCTGCTGTTCATGGTCATATAGAATGAGAGTCCCTCTAAGTGGGGGGTGTCATGATTTTCATGGCCTACTTACTAACTATAATTCCAAAATTACTGGATGAGATGTTGCCAATCTTTGTGCGACTTTATTCACTGCATCGATCTGCATGGTTTTGCATAGCCCACTATGTCCTACTTGTAGTGCTCGTTGCTTGGTTGCCTAATTTGGAATGCTTGTAGACTGCGTTGGGTCGGCAACATGGCATGTCGTCTGGCCGAGCAAATCTGAGGAAACTGCCAGAGATTCTCACGCTGAACACGGCTTGCAAGCGGGTCATTTTCGAAAGACTGCAAGAAGAGGGATCTGTTGTCATGGTCTTGAGAGAATCTCGTAGAAAATCACATGGCTAGCCTAGCCGTTTCAAGTCCAGGCCTTGCGAGTTTCCTTCTGATACTGGAGATGGACGGAAGTCCAGAATGATATACATTTTATGATATGTGTGTTCTTGGAAGTTGGGAAAATATGAAAACATGAATCAAACATAATCAAACCACGTATGGAAGGGTGGACATACAAAGGATGCCATGCTTGGATATGACAATGCGCCGATTTTATCTATGATATATATATATATATACATATTTCGTGATATTTAATGCGAGGTATGTCGCAATGATGGTCCAGCTGGTCTATCTTGAAAGATCTTAAAAGTCTTTGTGCAAGTGTTAGCCACCAGGGAATCTAGATTCCAGAAAAGTATCCGAAGCCTTTGATTACCGAATAATGACAACTATATCAACTATATAGCGATAGAAATCTTGGCAGCCTGTTCAGCTCATTCCACGGAAACTTCAGATGATAGATTCTCAGCCTCTGGCAGGCTTACAATCGTGCCAGGCCAGGGGTTGCCGTCTGGCTTCATAGCAGTTTTGAGAGTTTTGCTGGATGATGTTCAATGTGCAGCTTAGACTCACCCGAATCTGGATTTCTTTGGTTTTATCCAGCCTTGTGTTGAAATGGACCTCGACAATCCTGGGATGAGTCTGCGGAATCGGAGTATGTTGGCCTGGAAGATCCCTGGAAGATCCCTGGAAGCCTTTCAAACACAGTATCACAACACATCCTAGTAATCTAGTACCTGTTTATCCTGTTTCATCCTTTCGACGCCCTTCGAGTTTTGGGATGTTTTGGGTCGAGGCTGAAAGGCCAACATATCCAGCTTGAACATGCTTAAGTCGAGTGCGACTTCGGTGCAGGTTTTCCATATGGTACGGAGTACGGATTTTATCGGATTTTTAGTGTTTCAAGGTTGCCACAATGGCCGCCATCCGCGTGAAGGGATTCTCACGGATTCCGCAGATATCTTGAAATATCTTGAGATATCAATGAAACTGAAGTGATTGACTTTTCTCCAGACTGGAAATATGGATGGATGCTTCTTAGCCAAAGACCTTTTCTTGTTTGTCAAAAAGTCTATGGTGAGATGTAGTCAATGTAGTCCAATTTAGAACGTGTGTCTGCGGCAGTCTCAAGGATCTCGCAATTCTGAAGCCACTGCTCCAGATTGGAGTGCGAAACTCCCAAGGTGCAGAATTGGCCAGATTGGACAGTCCGTTCTTTTCAGTCAAACTGTCTCGGGCTGTTTCGCGCTTTTATTTTGCGCTCGTCTTCTTTGAGACGGAGAGGAAAGAACTTTGTAGGCGATTCTATGCAGCGAGGTGTATGGTCAGCAGATGATATGGAGTCGCAGATCATGCTGCATGAAGATTATTGGTCATTGCTGACAGCCAGAGGAAATTAGAAGGGAGAACTGCACACAGCAACTAGACAACAAGCCAAAGCAAGTTGGCAAACGAACACCTCGGTGATATTGCAATTGCGAGGCGGCCTTGCAAGTTTCCTTCTGCTGATACGGGAAATGGACGGAAGTCCAGAATGATATTATGATATACATGTTATGATATGCGTATTCTTGGAAGTTGGGAAAGACATGAAAACATGAACCAAGCCACGTATCGAAGGGTGGACATACAACGGATGCCATGCCTGCAATGTTAATGCGTTGATTTGATTTAATTATGAGATATACATTTTGTGATATTCAATGCAAGGTTTGTCGCAGTGATGGTCCAGCTGGTCGATCTTAAAAGTCTTAAAAGTCTTTGTGCAAGTGTTAGCCACCAGGAATCTAGATTCCAGAAAAGTATCCGAAGCCTTTGATTACCGAATAATGACAACTATATCAACTATATAGCGATAGAAATCTTGGCAGCCTGTTCAGCTCATTCCACGGAAACTTCAGATGATAGATTCTCAGCCTCTGGCAGGCTTACAATCGTGCCAGGCCAGGGGTTGCCGTCTGGCTTCATAGCAGTTTTGAGAGTTTTGCTGGATGATGTTCAATGTGCAGCTTAGACTCACCCGAATCTGGATTTCTTTGGTTTTATCCAGCCTTGTGTTGAAATGGACCTCGACAATCCTGGGATGAGTCTGCGGAATCGGAGTATGTTGGCCTGGAAGATCCCTGGAAGATCCCTGGAAGCCTTTCAAACACAGTATCACAACACATCCTAGTAATCTAGTACCTGTTTATCCTGTTTCATCCTTTCGACGCCCTTCGAGTTTTGGGATGTTTTGGGTCGAGGCTGAAAGGCCAACATATCCAGCTTGAACATGCTTAAGTCGAGTGCGACTTCGGTGCAGGTTTTCCATATGGTACGGCGTACGGATTTTATCGGATTTTTAGTGTTTCAAGGTTGCCACAATGGCCGCCATCCGCGTGAAGGGATTCTCACGGATTCCGCAGATATCTTGAAATATCTTGAGATATCAATGAAACTGAAGTGATTGACTTTTCTCCAGACTGGAAATATGGATGGATGCTTCTTAGCCAAAGACCTTTTCTTGTTTGTCAAAAAGTCTATGGTGAGATGTAGTCAATGTATGTCAATGTATAGTCCAATTTAGAACTTGTGTCTGCGGCAGTCTCAAGGATCTCGCAATTCTGAAGCCACTGCTCCAGATTGGAGTGCGAAACTCCCAAGGTGCAGAATTGGACAGATTGGACAGTCCGTTCTTTTCAGTCAAACTGTCTCGGGCTGTTTCGTGCTTTTATTTTGCGCTCGTCTTCTTTGAGACGGAGAGGAAAGAACTTTGTAGGCGATTCTATGCAGCGAGGTGTATGGTCAGCAGATGATATGGAGTCACAGATCATGCTGCATGAAGATTGATTATTGGTCACTGCTGACAGCCAGAGGAAATTAGAAGGGAGAACTGCACACAGCAACTAGACAACAAGCCAAAGCAAGTTGGCAAACGAACACCTCGGTGATATTGCAATTCATTGCGACGCGGCCTTGCGAGTTTCCATCTGCATAAGATCGAAAGCCCTACAGTACTGAAAATGGGTTGCCATTTGCAATTTTCCAGGTTTTTTCTAATAGATGGAGCATCATTCCATTTTGTCGATTCCATTCCCATCATTCCCGCGTTTTGGTTGGCTTATATTCTGATGTGTTTCACCATCCAGGCGCTTGACCATTGTGAGGTAAGCCGTGCCATGCCATGTGTTGCTGGATGGTTTGATGCTTGTAACTGGCTGGGAATTCTAACCCTGCCATGGCTCTATGCAAAGGGTAGGGCAGGGTAGGGCCATTCTCCGGTATTTCACCAGTGAACGTATCCAGTGCGATTGCCAGGAGGATCTGGAGGATCTCAAAAGCACCAGCCAAATGTCCGAACTTCCAGTGCTACCTGTGGAAGATGTCTACTTACCAGGTGCACCTGTGACTCTGCAGGTGGGGTCTCAGTATGTCTCAGTTGATTCGATTCAGATAGTTGCTATTCACATCTATGAGGTAACCAGATATAACCCGGATAATTCGGGTCCCTTTGGTTCAATGAACTGGTGACCGATGGAAGGTGACGGATCCGTTAGTCTGCGAGCTTTACGACAACTTGCTCCTGTCTGGTGGGCGTTATGTGGCAACCGTCCTTTGCAGTGAGGCACGGATGGCACGGGCACGGGATTTCTGGTCGTATGGTGTTGTTGATGCACAAGACTGGCAGAACGGTGCACATTTCTCTGCTTTGCTAACGTTGAACCCCAGCATCTCAGCGCTGTTGTCTTGCAAAAAACTACACCCATGGCTCCAATGTGCACAAATACGGTCAACCTTCGACAACGTTGGCTTAAAACGCTGACATGGCCTCCGATAGCACCAATGTACTGTAGCCCCCAGAGAGCAACATTCAAAATCCGACCGTCTGATCCGATTTTCAAATCCGATTTCCGCCAAAAAACAATCCAGCAACCCAAAAAGTGGCACTACAGCTGCGTGTTTGTTAACTATAGCCACTGCAAAGCTGCCAGCGACTTTGATGCCATAAAGAATCTAACCCATAAAAAAGGAGCCTCTATATATCTTTGCACGCAGTTTTTGACAAATTGCCTTGAACCAGTTACATAGTCAAGTAAATATCACTGTGCCTTGCAAGACCCTGCGTTCTTGAGCATAGTCCATGTTTCAAAGCAAAACTGATAAAACTGTTTGTATACCTCAGTTCTTGGAAAAACACATGTGACAGTGGCACAAATACCTGAGCAACAAGAGTTTCGTTGGCTTTGCGTCGAAAGGGGAGGGGCATTATATACGCATTGGGTCATTGGGTCCTGCTGGCCCTTCATAGAAGGTTCCATTCCCTACCCAATCCGAGGACCCCATATTGTAGTCAGTCCTTTCTGGCTCTAGAAGTGCAGTGTAAAACAAAAAGACATAATGCTGTGACTAGATCCAACTTGAATATTTTGCAATAAACCCTGATCAAACGTCCACTGTCTCCATGATGTTGCCGTTGTTTTAAGATCATGTTGGCACTATTTCGGGATCATGTTGCCACCCCCATTGCTTAATCTACTTGAAGGAGACGGCATTGTGCACAACACAGCCAGTTTGCTGTTTCAGAATCGGGCTGTCATGGTCCCGTCACGGTCCGGTCACGGTAAGATTTCCGATTTTTTTGGTTTTCCTTTTGAATGTAAATGAAAACTGGATGTTTCCGACTTTTCCGGAGACGGTCCAGTCACGGTCCCGTAACGGTCCGTAAGGTTTTTTTTGGCCACAAACTTGAAGCCCCAGGTTTGACCAGATTCCTGTGCTGACTTTTTTGCCCGAAAGGCAATTTTTAAAAAAAAAACTACGGGCAAAACAGCTTTTGTTGTCACCCCACGCTACTAGAAACTGCACTAACTGCATGGTTTTCAAATCTTTTTGGCACTGTCACCCTCAATCAACACTTTTTCAAGAAGCGCAAGATCGAACTCCCTAACAGTAGCCATGGATAGCCATGGGCCCCACCCAGCTACTAAATCTGGCGCGCCAAAATATTGTTTCTGCATGCACAAGCCATCTACGATACAAAGCACAAAACATATTTAAAAAAGGATGCATATTTTTTGTTTTTTTTGTTTGTTTTTCAGTCTGGGGAACTTTTCCTTGCTATTTGCTACATTTTGGAGCAAAAACCTGTACTTTGCTGAATCTTGGAGCTAAAATTTGCCATTTGCACTGTTCATCGATTTTTCCATGGTGTTCATTGGTTTACCCAAAATGTTCATCATTTTTTTCCATAGGTTTCATTGAGTTTGACATGGGGTCAATTGATTTTTCCATGGTTTCTATCGGTTTTTCCATGCATAACATGCACCTGGTGAACATGTAGAATATAGGTTGAAGCACAACCGTGTTGGATCTAAATAGTGGCAGTGGATGCTATCATAGTGTTGGTTGGTTTAGGGTTGGTTTAGGGTTGGTTTAGGGTCATTTAGGATAGGTCTAGGGTTGGTTTAGGGTTTATTTAGGGTTGTTTAGGGTTGGTTTAAGGTTTATTTAGTGTTGGTTTAGGGTTTATCCAGAGCTATTTAGGGATGGTTTAGGGTTGGTGTAGGGTTTATTTAGGGTTGGTTTAGGGTTTATTTAGGGTTGGTTTAGGGTTTATTTAAAGTTGGTGTAGGGTTTATTTAGGGTTGGTTTAGGGTTTATTTAGGGTTGGTTTAGGGTCTATTTAAGGTTTATTTATGTTTATTTAGGGTTGGTTTAGGGTTATTCAGTTTAGGGTTTAGGGTTTTATTTAGGGTTGGTTATGTGGGGTTGGTTTAGGGTTTCTTTAGGGTTGGTTCAAGGTTTATGTAAGGTTGATTTAGGGTTGGTTTAGTGTCTATTTAAAGTCTGTTGAGGGTTGGATTAAGGTACATTTAGGGATACAAGGTGTGTATATAAGGATAGATGGATCGAGCGATAGAAAGATAGATAGAAAGATAGATAGATAGATTGGATTAAATAGATTAGATAGATTAGACAGATTAGATAGATCAGATAGATCAGATAGATTATATAGATTAGATAGATTAGATAGATAGATTAGATAGATAGATTAGCTTAGATTAGATTAGATAGATAGATTAAATAGATTAAATAGATTAAGTAGATTAGATAGATTAGATAGATTAGATAGATTAGATAGACTAGATAGATCAGATAGATCGTTTAGGTAGATTAGCTACATAGATTAGATAGATAGATTAGATAGATTAGATAGGTTAGATAGATAAATAGGATAAGATTAGGTAAGATAAGATAAGATTAGATTAGGTTAGATTAGATTAGGTTAGATTAGATAGATAGATAGATAAGTAAAGCGTGGTAAAGCCACAAACGCCACAGAAGCCACAAAAGCCACAAAGCCAGGCTGGAAAACAAAAAGAACAAAAAACACCAAAAAAAAAATAGCCCTCCTTAAACAAATGTGAAAGCAGAAAGGACACGCAAGAGCGCGGAGCATTGCAAGGGGCGCCTGTTATCCTGTTGAACTGCTGCCGGGCGCACTAAGTTGTGGTTTTATGCACACATGCATGCCGCACGCATGCCGCATGCGTGCTTGTGCATTTGTTGCTGCATGATCTGAAAAGAGACCGAAAATTCGAAGATCTCAGCGTGCATGCAGTGTGAACTTTTAAAACTGCTTCAAAACCAAAACCTTCTTATTAGATCTTATTGGAACCTTTTGGATCCTTTTGGTGGTTTTGACCTCTTTTGATCTCTACATCCAAGGCTGCTGAAGGTAGTCAAGCATCATCACATCAGAAAAATTACCCAAGAACTGACACATCAAGGCCCGATTCCAATTTGATTTCTTATAAAATTATCCTATTTCCGGTAAAATCTTCTCATTTCCGAAAAAAACATCCGATTTCTGATAATCATTGCCCGATTTCCCATAATTTAATAATGAACGTAGGCTCCTGGGATCAACATGCCAATGTAAGTTTCTAAAGGCTGCATTTGTATGTAGGTTATATTTGCTGACATGGAGCGATAGGGTACGGTAGGGTCAACTATACTTGCATTCTGTTCCATAGGAAGCCCTTGAATCCGTTGAAAGGAAGGGTATCCCAGCTGTCATTTTCTCAGACAGTGAAGCCAGCGAACCCCTTCCAATGGCCATTGGCCATAGCTGTGGCATGCTCGAATATCTCGAATTGGCCACATATGAGGACAGACGGGAGATGGCAGCCTTTGGAACGCTGCTGTATTTGGAGGACTAATTTGGGCAAGCCGGGTAGTGATGCCTAGATGCACCACAAGAGAAGAGTTTCTTGCAATATGGGCTTAATATATGCTTCAGCAAAATCATTGGATATCAGAGGTACCTGATTTCCGACGAACCCATATTACTGTACTAATATCTTCCATACAGTTGCAAACTTGCGTGGATGAGTAGGCCCACTAGGCCGTTGCACAAAAAGTCCTTGGAGTGTCTTGGAAGCCCCATCAAGTGATATCGAGTCCCTCAGGCGATTCAATACAAATCTGTGGTGAGTGCATGATGTCGAGCCATTCAGTGTGTCCTTACACCATCACCGGCTGCTACTGGCATGCAACATGTGTCATGTTTGCAAAAGTGTATAATTAATGATATAATTATACATATAAATTTGATAATTTGGTTGGTAAAATCAAGCGGATCACTAAATATAACATGTTCATTTTTGCGTATATGTAGAATTTGCAGAGATATTTATAGACATATACGATATATATATATATTATAAAGAGAGAGATAGAATAGATGGGTTGCCAGTCTGCATGGAGATAAAGAAATATTTCATCTTCGGATCCCAGGATTTTCGACAGACTGCTGGGCTCCACGTGGCTGAACACCTGGCCTGCGGCCGTGTACGTCTCAAAGGACCGATGCAAACCACGGAGGATGGCTTCGTGCTGCCACAACGCATGGAGGTGGTGACCCCGGTGGGGGATGACCATTTTTTCCAAGCCCCCGTTGGGATATCATGGGGATATCATATTTGAACTTTTTTGGATACCTCCGTTTTATGGCCATTTATAATGTGACAAATAAAGGTAGCTGGGGGGAAATGTGATGTGACACCATGTTGATATGTTGTGTGTGTGGGGCAGTGTTGAGGACGACGCGGGGACAAATGGTTTTGAAATTGGTTGACCAACATTTCAAACATATCAACAGTTGTTCAAAAAAATACCTTACTTGGAGTGATCCCCACTCTGACACACTATTCTGACATATTCTGACACAGTTACATCGTTTCTAACATACCATTTGGACGTATATATGGCATATCGATTCTGACATTCTATCTGACATACTTTCTGGCATTCTATCTGGCATCTATTTTGACATTTTTTCTTGCATTCTTTCTGGCATATATTCTGACATTTGTCCTCACATTCTTTCTGGCATTCTAACATTCTCTCTGGCATGTGTTCGGGTCCAGGCGTGGCCCACAGCATCCCGAGCTCGCTATATGCGCGATATGGCTCAGGTCCATTGGAGGAGTTGTCTGTTAAAATCTAGAGACCCTTCACCTGGGAGATGGGGAAAAATGCTCTGGGATCATGTTCTGGGATCATGTTCTGGGTGTCACCTAAGTGGGTTCCAAGATATCTCCTGGGGTCTCTCTCCATCACATGGTGCATCGCTGGGGCGATGCCAGGTGGAACTCCGAGAGGATCTTGATGACTCCGAAGCTCAAACTCCAGCAGCGCTTCGGAGGTGAAGATTTGGTGCTCAAGAGTTCAAAGACCCATTGCTAAATTTTGCTAAGCCACATATTCACGTTGAGTTCAATATGTGTACAGGTTTTTGGTATGAACATGTGCGTTCAACGTGAATTCCATGTTTCATCATGTTTCTATAGTTGTCGCCGGGTTGATAGTGTCAAAGATTCTGATGCACATCCCAATTGGGATGATGATCATGATGATCTCCAGTGACTTTGGCAGTGTTCCGGGAAAGGTATTCCATGCTTGTAGCTGGCAAGTTCTCCGACTGATCAACGAGCCCCACAATAGTTGATGAAATATTCATTTGCGTAGGGAAACTCAGAATGATTATATACGTGTTTTCTTGGCAGAGGCTTTTCCCATAGTTTCAGGGATCATCAGTTTTCGGTACTTTTGGGAATCACAAAACTAAGCATAATCGGGGATCCTTGTTACAAGTCGGCCGGGCATTGGACATATCATTTGGTTTACTGGCGCAAAGATCTCCCCCCAAAATAAAGGCACATGTGATGTTTTAAGATGTGACACGGGGAAACACATGCATTTGTTTGGCTGGCACATGAGCAGCCAGGCCCTTGTATTGTTGATGGATACTGATGTATACGTGTTTACCAAGCTCGACGGGATGATAGTTAATGGTTTTGAATTGGTGGATTTATCTCCAAAGAAGTTAACGGATTTGGATTGTCATCTTTTCTGACATCAGGAAGATTCCTTAAAGCGTGACCTTGGGAATCGAAGCATGCTATCTGGATCCATCTGGTTTATTTTAGCAGTCTATTTTGGAACATATTGAAACTATAGGTAAGTCATCGAACTGAATGGGCCATGGCTTCCAGTTCGCAAAGTGTTAACTTACATTAAAAAAAAAAAAAAACGGATGGTATCCAGCATCAACAGCAACATGTCCTTTTCCCAATCCACAGCTAAGACCCGCTTGGAACCGCAACTTTCACAGCTGGAACGCCTGCGGAAGAAACGTGGAATCACCAGCGGGCTCAAGGATGGGACCATAGATCAACCAACCTCAGGTCGATGAGGCACCAAATCATATGGGTTGATTAAGGGTTTATTATGGGTTTCTTAGGGGTTTAGCGACCGCTAGCAACCACCTATGATTGTATTATTATTATTAATATATATATATATATAGCATCTGTTGTTGGGTTCGGCTCGCCGAACTGCGGGGGTTGGATCCCTATGACAGTGGTGAAACATGGGAACATAGCCAGAGGTCAAAGTGGCAAATCTTTTCGAGTGGTGGCTCTGTGAAGTTGATGAAATGTGGTAGATGATCAACCTGCCTGGTTGGTAAGTCTCTTAAGGGGGGGGTTGCCCCCTTTGCTCTCCATTTACAAGTTGGTCACATACTCTCTTCCCCCATGATTTAACATTCCAAAAACATCCCAAAACCCTGGTGGAATGTATTGGATCGCTGGAGGAGACATTGCACCTGGAACCGCCACTTCCGCGCGAGTTGCAAGCAGTCCAGGGTCTTTGGCAAGTCAAGAGCGGCCTGCGAGTCCGCATCGACCGAGATCAGGCCGGGGCGGCTGGTGGTCTTTTTCCCCACCTGCCAGGTGAGGGTCTCTACACTCCATTCCTTGCCCCTTGTTCCTGCGGGCTTCGGACCCGAAGTCTTTATTGCCAGCTCCGGATGCTGTCCACGCCTGGACCCGAACACATGCCAGGGAGAATGTCAGAGTGCCAGACAGAATGTCAAAACATAATATGTGCAAGAAAAAATGTCAAAATAGATCCCAGACAGAATGTGAGAATAGATGAGATAGACTGCCAGAATGAATGCATGAAAAGATGCCAAATAGAATGTCAGAATAGATGCCAGATAGCATGCCAGAAAGACTGCCAGAAAGAATGTCAGAATAGATATGCCATATATTATATATACATCCAGATGGTCTGTCAGAAACTATGTCAGAATAGTGTGTCAGGATGGGGATCACTCGAAGTACATTAATTCCAAAGGGTGATGACTGGTCATGAAATGGAATGTTGATGATATAGACTGGTAAGAGTCAAACGTTCAACAGATCCTTGGCTCACAGATTTGTGGTCATTGTTCAAACATGTTCATACTATCCAATGTTAAAGGGGACCAATCTCGGCCCATACCCAAATCATGGCACGTGGATGGACATGAATTTCTGATGATTTCTGTGTCAGTTTTGATTGGTCATCGCATTCAACACTCGGCCACACTCTGGTGGACGCGGGTCGTGGCTCAGATTCTAGCACTGAAATTATATTATGGTACGGTGGCCTGGTAAATATCGCAACGTCCGATCTTAGATGCCAAATTGCTTGGACATCACGGCATAATCTTGGCACGGTGACATCAGAATGGCATCATATATTGTAACTCATAAGAGATCATAAGAGATCATAAGAGATCATAAGAGATCATAAGAGATCATAAGAGTATTGTGAGAAAATACCAGAAAATGCGTGGTGTGAGATTCATGACAGGTGGTGGGTTTAGGCAAGTTGGTCCGGACGCCCAGACTGTGGCCAGGATGAGGTGGCCAATCTCAGGATCAACCCGAAATCGGGACACAAACACCTTGTTTCAATCCGTCTCATTGACAGGAACGGGACTGTTTTGGTTGTGTTACCACGTTTCATTCTGTGTGAGGATTTTTGATTTTGGTCATGTTTTGGGGAGAGCCGCCCCTCTTTGTACAAAGCCACGACATGGAACCATCAAGGCAACTCAGCATGCTTGAGGAGTTGAGTGATGGACGCCTTGTGGTCAAGCTGGAAAAGCCCTTCACAGCAAGCATTGAAGGTGCGCATGTGATACTAGAGACACCATGACCGTGTAGTTGCATGGAAGCGTTGCTGTCAGGCTCTGAAAGCATGGCTGAAAGTCTGACTTGGGATGATGGTGACGTTTGGCAGAGGCCCCAATTGGCAGAGTTTTACTGGCTGAACTACGATCCATGCACTGTAGTTGGGCAGCTGTAGCCTCCGGCACATCTCATGGTGCCAGGTTAGCAGCCCCAGCACCCCAGCATGCTTCGGCCTATCAGAATGCATTGTGGCGTGCTGCCAGAAACTGGCGTTCAACAGGCCGGGTGATATCTTATAGACAGCTTTGGAGCATACTTAGAATCGAATGGGCAGTAAAAAAATTAAGCCCCAGCTTTGGGGAATCTGCTTCGAATTAATGAATCAATATATAAATCAGGTTGGTGGTTCGAAATATTTCATGTGTCATTCCATCGTACCTGAGGATGATGGCCTATTTCAGGGGCATTGAAATCACAATCCAAACATGGATTCGTCAGGTTGCTCTCGAGTAGGATTTCTTCATGGGATGACATTGCCCAAAATTCGAAGAGGGAGGAGGCCAAAGTTGTTGGTGTCTTTGTTACAAAACACATCCAATGAATTGCAGACAAGAAGTCAGCGCTGTCCCGATTTGATCCCGTTGTAGATTCTAGATTGGTTTCCCGTTGTCTTCCACCCATTCCCTTAAAAAAGCAAGATTTTAATAGGTTGCCTGTGTACCATTTATTTGCCATGGTGTCTTATCCTTGCTGCATGTACCTGCATCCCAAGTTGATTTGTCTATGCATATGTGCAAGTTCCGAAGAGTCATGGACTGAGTGACCCATGACCCACCTACCGATATGAGTCAACACCAAGCATTCCGAACTTGCATTTCACATCCCAACTAGTTGATGTTGGGTACTTTTTGTTGGTTTGTACCAGCTGAAAGGAGTAAATTGACACATGCGCAACCCTGATGAGCATCCCTTGGTATACCTTGATGCACTCCATGGAGGAGATGGACTCCAGTTTATTTGACCATGTTTGACCCATAGCGGATGATTTAGTCTGAAACCAGGCAGGATGTTGATACATCTATAGAGGGTCTACTCTTGGATGCGCATCCCAATTAGAAAGTGGTTCATCATGACTGTACCCACTTAAACAACAATCATATGTATAGGTCACGTTGTATATATATATATATTATATGTACATATATATATATAGTTATCATTTGTATTTTTATTTTTATGTTTTTTTTCATGCATGCATACATGTGGGATACCCATAGTTGTTTATTATATATTGATCCCATCTCCGAGCAAAAAATCGATCTTTGGGGATAGGACTGTTCACCATCAAAGTCGCCGTTGGGAAATCTCCCCCACATTTCTGGTTTCATGCTGGTGAGTTCTTATATACTTTGGCTAGAAATATGAAATAGGTAAATTAGTTGATGTTCAAATTTCAGACCAAAGTATAATATACTAGTAATATAATATGATATGAATTAATGTACATCATATGTGCAATACAGACCCAAGTTTCGAATCGAAGCCGGGCCATCCTATGGACTCCAGGCACCTTGCGAGCTGAGCTGCGGCGGGGCGAAGCACGATGGACACCTGGGGAAGCCTGGGGATATGGGACGTGGCATGGATATCATCCTGATAGAAATGATGGGAAAATTCAATCATCATCACTAGAATGGGAAATCATGGAATATCTTTGATCTATATTGATCTATGTTGTATCTACTTCAAGATGATGAAATGACTACGGGTCTGTTTTTTTGAGATGTAATCTGTTTGTGTGTGTGTGTCTAAAGATTGTGGGGATACCCAAAGTATAGCGATTTCCATATGGAAAGTTATTTTCTAAACCATAGGATTTGGGGCTTCCAAAGTTGGGACAACCCCATATGGCTATGGGACAAACATATCTTAATCCCATAAAATGGGCTGGATGAAGGTAAGAACTAGAGGCAAACATGTCTTCCCCCTCATTTTAAAGGGTTCATTTCACAACTCGATGGTCGATGGTTGAATACTGTTATGGAGACAGACGGTTAATTTGATGGGTTGATTGGTGCAGTACCCGACTTGGACCTTGTAGCAATGTAGAATGGCTGACTGGTGTTGACATCCGTGACTTTGATGGAGGGACATCCACGGGAACCCCTGCAATTGTTCCTTGAAGCCAATCTGATGACAGAATTTAGATGCCCAGCATGACCAAAACTGAAGAACATTTGAGATGCTAGGTATCTCCATGTTGGATTCATGTGCTGAAAAGCCATCTACATGCTGTTAAAGGTTGGCCCAATAGTCCAAATTGGATCTAGTCGGAGGTGAGCATCCCCGGATCTTAGGAACCAACCATAAAGCCAGGAAGAAACATCAACCGAAGTCTCGTTTGGATAGGATACACTTTGGTTGATGACTACTTTGGGGATTACCAATGGTTATTAATGATGATGATGATGATAAAAGAAGGTGATGATGATGATGATGATGATGATGATGATGATGATGATGATGATGGTGTTAAATCCTGTTTCTTGTGGTCTTGTGGTCATATAAAATCCTGCGCAAAGCGTCGTATGGCGAGAATCTTCTGCATTGGTGGTGCCAACATCATGATTACCTGCTTCCAAAGAAATTGAAACCAACCCTGAAAGATGTTCATAGATTTTCCCAACGTACTGCCGCCTGCCCAGCGCTGAAATTCCACTCAAAATCGCTGAGGAAATCAGCTGCTTCCATGATCCAAGCAGGTGCTGAGCGCCCTTGGCTCCTGAGCAAAAGTTGGGATTTGGCGGTAGACCTTGAGGGTTATTGAATTTGTTTCCATGACTAGTGAGCTAAAAAAGATCCTGGCAGAAAAAAATCGTGCTGCATTTCTGCAGATCTTCCTTTCTATCCTGTTGTTACATGACCTTACTTTCATGACCACATTTTTCAGCATGGTTCAGCATGTTCAGCACATTGCTGAACTCAGGGATCCAGACAGCAGCTCGAGAGACGAGTGGGAAAGTGCGGCCAACGCAGCCGACTCGGCAGCCAGAGCTGAGATTTGGGAAGAGGTCCTGAGGCCACGGCGTGGACGCAACGGTCCATGGAAGGTTGTGGATGGGTCAACCATGGGGAGCCACAGGTGGACTGGCTATTTGTTGATTGGTTGTGTGGAACATTGTGGAACCATAGAAGTTAGGGGGGGCCCAACTGTGAGCTGTACCCTGCAATTATGGAGATTATGGAGGAAGGTCGCAGCTGAATTTTGAGAGCCCCGGAGAAAGCTGACTATGCTGCGACTTCTTGCAATGTGAACAGAAGGAGCATAGGGCACTGTTGTCAATCTGCAAGATTGTCAAGAGGAGATGGATCTCTGTGTTCATGCCACACGGATCAAACACATCGGCAGGCCATGCCAGCAACTGCTGCAAGCAGAAGTCATGGCAGAAAGGTTGGAGATCTTCAGGACCATGTTGCAGGCGAATCTGTCAAGTTGATGATTTTCGATATGTTCAACTGTAACATTGTGGATTAACGAAATCCTGCCCCTTTGTATGGTTCGAAAGCGTCAAGAATTGCGAAGGTCAATGTTGGTCAAGGTGAAGGGGGGTAATTACAAGAAGTTATCCACTCATCCGATCATAGTCTTTTCCATCCCTGGGATTTGTTTCCGGTTGATTCGTTTTTTGATATAGCGCAGCCAACAATCAAACCCCATGGATTCCGAAAACTAAGCGATTTACCGGAGGCAGAGATCACCCGACTACAGCTGCTTCAAACTCTGGACCCAAAGGATTGAAAAAAAATAAAGATACATAGAGAGCTGAGAACAGTAAATATACTTTAGCATCATTCTCTAAGCTCCATCCGTCCTTTATTGCCATCAAATTTGGCATGGTAAATCCCTCATTTTGGAAGTCTGGCCTAATAGGTGGCATTGGGCTTGCCTTTTCCGTTGTTTATCTATTATTTACTGGCAGTCTCAATATTTTAGAGGCCTAAGTGGTGCCATTTGGAGGTAATTTCTATTGATTTCTACCAAGGCATTTTTTTTCTAAGTAGTTTCAATCCCGAGGCTGTGGTCTGTTGGGAGCATTAGATTTGATGGAAATATATTCTATGTGTATCTATTTGTTTTCCGTGACCATATAACACATTTTCATATATTTACATTTTAGGTTTAATGATTTTAAATGTTAAAGCCCTAGAAAAGATACTGAATTTAAATTATAATCTTAATTATAAATCTTAAATACTCTTAAATAAGACTAGAAATATGAAATAAATTACATAAAGGACACAATAAAATTTGAGTCCCTAGGATTGGTGCACGAAAGCTAAGCAGGGGAAAATGGTACAGTAGTTAATAGTACCAGGACGAGGTGGAATGAAAGAGGTGGAATTATACATCATTGATGATTTTATCGAATGAGTTGGGTGGTGCGGGTTGGGGGCTTGGGTTCCGTGGATTTGTGGCGAGAGGATAAGAATTTAGTACTTGTTTTTCTAAAATATATTAGAAATTTAAATTATATATAATTATGTAAATAATATAATTAAATTATATAATTTAAAGGTTATACCTTACCACTGACCCCGAGAAATTTAGTAATTTTGATTTTTGAGGTAACGAAAGCACCGATAAGGCTTGCGGTTGGCAGCTGCTTGTACCTAATATTGCTTTCTGAATAAATAAGAAATTACATCTAATTTTTGGCTGATAAACCTCTAAAACCTTGGCTTTATAATATTGAAATATTATGAAATTATAGGAAAAATAAGATTTGCGGTTGGTAATTATTTCTGGGTAATAATACTTTAGTATTTTATAATAAACCTAACCTATATAATATTTATATAATTTTTTTACGGATATTTATATTGGTTTTAAAATATTTTTATTAATTTAAATTTATAAGAAGCCGGATATATTTTTTTTTTTTTTTTGTATTAATACTTAAAAAACATATAATTTTATAAAAAAAATAAAATAATTTTAAAAATATTTTTTTATAAAATATTATTGTATACCCTGCTATTTTTTTAAAAAATTATTAATAATATTTTTAATTTATAAAATATATTTAAAAAAATAATTAATAATTTTATAAAATAATTTAATATTTTAATTTATTTATTAAATATATATTTAATAATAATAAATTTCGTTATTTTTTTTTATAATTATAAAATATTTATATATAAATTATTTATAGTAGGGTTAATTTCTTTTATTTTATAAAGGAAATTCGAAAAAGGTTTTGTAAATTCGAATTTTTAAAATTTTAAATTAGGTTTAT